GAGGCCGGCCATTTTTCTTTCTCTACCGGAGCTACGTCATCTTTGACGAGGAGGAAGTTGAAAAGCGCGCCACGCGCGGCAATCACCCGCAACATTGTGTCAGGTGACTAACAGCTCTCCACTGATACTTCGCGACGGATGCTGCGTTTACACTCGTTCAAGTGAAAGTTTAGTGCTATTTTACACTTAAGATAGTATCATTTTATGTTGTATTTAGACTTACTTTACTTTTCTACCAATTTTATTATTACGTTTGCTGCGCAATACTGAAATTGTTTCGTTTGTGTATTTACCGATTTGTTCCACTGCGTGTATGTGTAAAGCGTTTTTGCGATTTGACCGTTTCTGATTTTACCTTTAAACCATGGCGAGTCAAGGAGAATCTAACGTTTCAGAGGGCCACGTTGGCAACGAGGGTGATGCTACTGCACTAGTCGGTGGCAGTCCCATTTACGTAAACAGGGTCGCAATTAGGACCCCGCCTTTTAGCAAGGATCGGCCCGCATTGTGGTTTGCTAGCCTAGAGGCGCAGTTCCACATTAACCAAATTACCGTCGAAATGACGAAGTTTCATTTCGCCGTGGCGCATTTAGATACCGAGTGTACGAAGGAGGTCGAAGATATTATCACACATCCTCCCGAGTTGCAACCATACACAACTTTAAAAAGCGCAATCATATCTAGATTCTCCGATTCCTTCGAGGAGAAGGTGCGGCGCTTACTAGAAAAGGAACAGTTAGGTGACCGCAAGCCATCTTCGTTCATGCGACACTTGAAGAGTCTGGCTGGGCAATCGTTCCCCGCTGACTTGCTGCGATCAATTTGGGCCAATCGGCTTCCCCGGCAGGTTCAAATTGTGTTGGCCGCACAGAAGATCCAGGACTTGACGGAGTTGGCGGAGATGGCCGACCAGTTGGTGGAGTTGACCGAGAGGCCTACCACCGTGAGCCAGGTTTCGGCGCATCATACCTTTGAGCCCACTCTCGCGTCAATGCTGCGGAGGATCGAGGAATTGACGCGAACAGTCTCAGCGCTCAGAACAAACACCCATGAACGATCTGGGAGCTCACGCGTTAATCAAAAGCGGAGCCGCTCTCGATCGCGCTCACGCCCACGTAATCAGAAGCTTTGCTGGTACCACGATCGTTTCGGCAACAAAGCAAGCAAATGCATACCAGGATGCAGCTGGACCATTGAAGGAGCTACCAAACCTTTAAACTAAGGGAGCGGTCGGACGTGGCAAGTACCGACCGCGCACAGTCCAGCAAACGCCTTTTTATTACCGATCAAAATACCAAAATTAATTTTTTGATAGATACCGGTTCGGACATTTGTTGTTTTCCACGAAAACTTATAAAAGGATGTTTCTCAAATACAGGACTTACTCTCAATGCGGCAAATGGCAGCTCCATTAAAACTTACGGCACAGTTAATCTGAACCTCAATTTAGGACTGCGCCGTGAATTTCGCTGGGAGTTTTTTTGTGCTGACGTGTATGTCCCAATTATCGGTTCGGATTTCCTAGCTTTCTTCCACCTCCTACCCGACTGCCGTAGCGGCACACTGCGCGACGAGCTTACCAACTTATACGCATATTGTTGTAACCGCAATATAATGCAGCCAAGTATTAGGACCGTAAAAAAAAACCGTCTCGCGATTCCCTGTTCAATCAACTCTTTTTAGACTTTCCGGAAGTGACGCGCCCACCTACAGCTGACCGTCAAATAAAACACAACACTGTTCACTATATAACGACAACTAGTGGGCCGCCTGTCACGTCGCGTCCTCGTCGACTAGCACCCAACAAGCTAAAAATTGCTGAGAAGGAATTTAATGACATGGTGTCGGCGGGTACTGCTCACCCATCTAAAAGCCCCTGGTCGTCACCACTGCATTTAGCACCCAAAAAGATGGCATGTGGCGTCCTTGCGGTGACTACAGGCTCTTAAACGCTCGGACAGTTCCCGATCGGTACCCTGTGCGTCATATAGGAGACTTCAGTCATAATCTGGCTGGTTCTACTATATTTAGCACATTAGATCTAGTAAAGGCCTACCAGCAGATTCCGGTAGCTGGTCCAGATGTTTGCAAAACGGCCATAATAACGCCATTTGGTCTTTTCGAGTTTCCCTATATGTCATTTGGGTTACGCAACGCTGGCCAAACCTTCCAGCGTTTCATCGATGAGATCTTGCGCGGACTAGAGTTCGCTTTTCCCTACATTGACGATATTTTGGTATTTTCACGGGATGCTGAAGAGCACGCCAAACACCTGCGCATAATCCTGCAGAGACTGGTGGACTATGGCGTCGTTGTCAATGTGGATAAGTGCGTATTGGGGACATGTGAGGTAATCTTCCTAGGTTATAAGATAACCAAGGATGGTATCTGCCCACCTGAAGAGAAGATCGCTGCTCTCCGCGAGTTATCGCTTCCCAAAACAGCTCAAGGTTTGAGACGCTTCCTGGGGATGGTAAATTATTACCGCCAATTTCTTCCCAAAGCCGCCAAGCTCCAAGCTCCACTTGTGGATTTTTTTAACAGTCAGCAACCTAAAAGGTTCAAAAGCTATGCCCTGGACAGCAGACTTGGAGCGTGCTTTCTACGAGTGTCGCGACAGTCTCTCAGAGGCCACCATGCTTGTACATCCGCAACGAAATGCTCGTTTAGGGTTGTACACGGACGCCTCCAGCACTCATGTCGGCGCTGCCTTACAGCAAAGGTCTGATCAAGGCTGGCAGCCGTTGGCATTCTTTAGCAAAAAGCTAACACAGAGCCAAAGTACATGGCCTGCGTATTACCGCGAACTTCTCGCAGTGTACGCGGCCGTACAGCATTTCCGGCATATACTAGAGGCACAACACGCGACAATCTACACGGACCACAAGCCGCTTCTTTATGCTTTCGTCCAACGCCGTGAAAAATTGCCCCCTGCTCAACTTAACCAACTCACGTTTATTTCCCAGTTTACAACTGATATCAAACATGTGAAGGGGGAAGACAACATCGTTGCTGACACAATGTCCCGCATTGAGGCTATCACGCTCGATGACGATTTCGCAGCCCTGGCAAAAGCTCAGCAGACGGACGACGAACTTAAAACCGTAAAGGTCCATTCTTCTTTACAGTTAGAGCCAACCCTCATACCTGGATCCAACATTTCCGTTTTGTGTGATGTGTCAACAGGCAAACCTAGACCCTTTTTGCCAAAACAATATCGGCGAGCCGTCTTCGATCGCCTACATGGTCTCAGCCACCCCGGCGCACGCGCTTCCGCGCGCCTCATTAGCGACCGCTATGTTTGGCCAGGCATTGCTAAAGACTGCCGCTCCTGGGCACGCGAGTGTCTCGCCTGCCAGAGCAGCAAGGTAACGCGCCATGTCGTTTCACCGCTTGGCAACATTAGCACACCTTCAGGCAGATTCCGTCATGTTCACCTGGACATTATTGGACCGATGCCTTCTTCAAACGGATTCACTTATTGCCTAACAGCAGTAGACCGTTTCTCACGCTGGCCCGAAGTTTGGCCCATGTCGTCGATAACCGCAGTAGAAGTCGCTGATCAATTCACCCATGGCTGGATCGCTCGCTTTGGTGTACCGATCACTGTCACAACGGACCAGGGACGTCAATTTGAGTCCCAACTTTTCAACAGACTGATGGATTTAGTAGCCACAAAACGCGTTCGTACTACGAGCTATCATCCCCAAGCTAATGGGATGATAGAGCGTTTCCACCGCCATTTAAAGGCCGCTTTAATGTGTCACAAGAGTTCTTGGTACCATGCCCTACCTTTCGTTCTTCTCGGAATCAGGGCGGCACTAAAAAATGACATCAAAACGTCAGCTGCAGAAGTTTTGTATGGGGAACCGCTACGCCTACCAGGCGAGTTCCTGGTGGCTAGCAATTCCCCTCAGACCGTGGACGATGATTTTGTTGCACAGTTGCGAAAACGGATGGCAGAACTTCGCCCCGTTCCAGCTTCACATCACACGAATTCTAAAACTTTCGTTTTCAAGGACTTACCTGATGCTACTCACGTGTTCCTCCGCGAAGATTCCGTTCGACGCCCTCTACAGGCACCTTATACAGGCCCCTACAGAGTGTTGAAGAGATCTGAAAAGACACTTACCTTAGACATTTTTGGCCGAAGATCTGAGGTTAGCATCGACAGAACAAAACCTGCGTATATTGCACCTGGCCCAGACGGCAATCCGTCCCCTAACAACTTGGCACCGGAGCCCCCAGTCCTTCCGACTCTTTCACCTACTATTAGCCAAACGGCCGTACCCATTAAAACGCCCGCACAGCACAGCCTGTAAACCCGGTCAGGTCGCAAAGTAAATTTAAAGATATTTTAGATTTATAAGTACTAGTTTTTAATACGTTATTTTTGTTAAAGCAGAGTTTTTTCAATTTTAAGTTTCCAATGTTTATTTTTTCGTTGTATAAATTAAAATTCCATTAGTTAAAAATTATCCTAAATAATGTTGCTTGTACTTTTATAATAACAGTGTATAATTATTGATTGTTACATTTTATACTTGTTTTGCCTTCAATGTGTACTTATTTTTCTCCGTAGGGGGGTGATGTGGCGACTCATTTGCTACTGTGTAGCACCGCTCTTATCCTTTACACCCTTACTCTCATCGGTCTAGCATTACCCTATTATTGACAAATTTCTATAGCAACGAGTGACAATAAAAGATGATGGTTTTCTCAACACGGCTTGTACTTTATACTGCATCTTAATTATTCCCTCCTGCCGGCTCCCAAAGTGTACTAAATTTTTTGTCAAATACTATTTACCGCACCTAAATTCAACTCTGGTCAAGTGTCAACTGTCAACTGTCAATCTGAAATCCAATAGCAATATTGTACATTTTCAGAATTACAATTTTCAAATAAAAATAAAAATAATGGAATATAAATCTGATAATTGCTGGGTGTCGCAACCTGATGTATGTCGATGCTGTTTATCAGCAAGTGGCAGCTGCGATATGACGATCGCATATGTTTCTGATACAGGAAAGAAAGAACTATATCATGAAATGTTGCAAGAATGTTTCGGATTTTCTGTATGTATATATTATGAAAAAAAAAAATGAATTTGCTAGTTGCTACATATAGTTGTTTCAATGTAGATAACACAAAACTTGGGCCAAAACTTGGTTACAAAAATTAAAGAAAGTGTTGGTAGTTAGCATTCTAAGAAAGGAATTTTTACAAAATTTTCTTTAATAAGCCGAAAACTACAAATTTCTAAGAATTATTCTTGCCTAAATAAACTCTATGTACAGTATAAAATGTTTTTGGTTTCTAATCTGAACTACGGAACTTTTGAATTACAAATGTTATTTAATAAAATATAACATTGTGAATTTTGTTGCTGATGCAGGTACTTTAATTTTACATTATTTTACGACTTCAATGATAATCAAAATTTTGTTAAATGCGACTGTGGTAAACAAATTGAAAATAAAGTAGTTATAAAGCATAGACTCTGATCTGATTCATATCCAAAATCGTCATGATTCCTACTCCTAAAATTGTATAATGGGCTATAAGTAAATTATCTAATATGGTCTCATTTCAATATGATTTAATGTGTAAACAAAAATGTTAGGGAAGTATGCAGCATGCAATTGACAGCATGAGTAAATTCATAGCGTGAATTCCCAAGCTGTCGCACCTGAACAAGTGGAACTCCAGTCGAATGGTGTGCACCTTGTGCATTGCTCAGCTCAAGCTTGCCTGTGCTTTCAAAAACCAAGTGCAGCAGTCCGAGAGGCATTTCAACTTCTACTACAATACCCAGACAAGTAATTGCATTATTATATTTATAAATTATTTAATATTAACATCAACCTTTAACCAAAGACTATAAAACAAGCTGTATAGTAAATTGTGGCCACATTCAAAATAGTACATTTGTTTACATTACAAAAGCTGATGAAAAACTTTATGCACTAAGGCAATATTTACAGATCGCCATCCCATAAAGAATGTGGAGGAATGTGAAAAGCCTGGAATTACTGAAGAATTGTCAGGAAAAAACAATGGTAAGAATGGGTTAGAACCGAAAGGAGTTTAGCAATATTTATAGTTAATTTTTTGTATTGGTGCCATAAACAATGTTAAAATAATAAAGGATGAAATAATATTTTTGAAGTATTTAAGGAAGGTTACATTTACGGTGGTAGGGCCACGCAGCAGTCTTCGCTGTTTCACGAATGGGCAGGTCCTTCTGCGTAAGTACCACAACCTCAGAGAAGGCCAGCGTGATGTGGCAACGCCGCTGCAATCTGACGGCTGTTGCAATTGTCAATGGGTGGTACTTATCACTTAACATCACGTGAATCTCCAGCTTTAATAAAATAGTTCCCTTTCCAGTCGCCATAAAATTGGAAGACGATAAACCAATGTTTATACCATTATTGAGGGATGAAGAGCGCCCATTACTAAAGCCAAATCGCCCCCAAAGAGGGATGCGAAAGAGAAAGAAAACTTCTAAACGGGCACGTGAGAAAAGGACGGAAGAATCTAAACTAATCACTGAATATGATTCGGATACTCCCATTGCGAAGTTGGCAGAATTGATTTCATGTCAGGCCAAACGAGATATTGAAACTGTAGCTACAAATGGCGAATCTGGTCAGAGAGACAATGGCCCCATAAATAGGGCCAAGGTCGAAGGTAAGCAAGTTATGAATCTATACAATAGCTTTGATGTTATAATTTCGAAAGTTCGTGTGAAAGTTTGTACCTTTTTTTTGAATTTTATTATTCATAGTGAAAAATAAAATAAAAGTTTAAACGATCGTATTTCTTAAGAAGTATATTAAGCACTATAAACGTTTATGAGTCAGTGGTGCAGTTGCTAGCTTTGGTGCAGGTTTTCGTGGGTTCGATTCCCTCCCGGGACAAGTATTTGTGTGACCCCCCGATAATTGTTACGAATAAGGGTGTTTATTCCCGAGGAGGATTGACTTCAGGCAGATGGCCTGTCGCAAAAACCATTACCAGCATGATTCATATGTTGTGTCAACCCTAACTTTTTTTTAATGCTTTCGCACACTTCTGCGAAACTGCTAGCGTTGGCCGTCTCAGCAGCCCCTCCCGGTTAGGACCCCAAACTCCCCTCTTCTCCAAGTAAGGCGCGCTGTAACAGTCAGCGCGCCTTCATACTCGGCCCCCTTTGTGCCAACCCCACCTAGGTGGGATAATGGCAGGAGAAAGAAGAAAGAGAAACTGTGATTTTTATATGCGCTATGTTCCTGCTGTGTTAATTTGAATTGAATTATGTACTTATGTAGTTCATATTCTTCACGTGTCGATGACAAATCATATCTTACGGGCCCAGAACTTGGCCACTTCGAAAGCACAATTTTTGGCATCCATCAGATTCTGCTGCGAACAGGTGAAAGGACAGGATATCAGACTTTAACGACTTCGTACGCAGGTTGATCGAAGCAAGGAAAATACGTTCAGGTGGGGACTCTCAGAAAACTCAGACTGCACTGTAGCACTGTTTGTTTGTTTGTATATTCTTTATTGTACTAGAAGTTTGAACAAAGGCGAACTTAATGCTAAATAGCATTTTCTTCCAGCTAACCTTTGGTGGTTGAGTACAAGTTACGGGTAGTAGCGCTAAAATGACATACAAGATTTTTAGTGTCTATCATAAAGAATATGGCAAACTAAATATACTTCATCATAAATATATATAATTACAATTTTATACACATACTTGCACGTATATATTATATTACACATACTATTTATTGTACACTATATATATGCGTGGAGCAGTGCAGTCCATGGCTCATCTGATGTCCTGTCCTGCCTGCCCTTATGTAGTTGATTTCACTGCGCGTTCTCCGCTCCCAGCGGCTGGCCAGCCGGAGACGGAGAATCCGAAACACGTATCCGAACGGAGACGCGTGAGGGTGACCTGCTTGGCCGTCCTCCGAGAGACCACCGCCTGCCCGTTCCGGCACCACAGGAGCTGGTTCCGCTGCTTCTTCTGCGCGCAGGACTTCATGCGGATGGTGCTGCTGAGGGAGCACACGTTTAACGCCCACGCCGACCTAGTGGGCGAGCTGGGGCGCTTGAAGCGCTACCCTCGCTCGCTGCAGATCGACATAACGGACCTCGAGTGCCGCCGCTGCGGATCCAAGATGGCGGATGTAGGCGCCATGCGGGACCACCTGTCCCAAGAGCACGGCACCACCGTCCACGTGGAGTGCATCGCCGACTACAAGGTAATTCAAATCGACTCGTTCATATCCCCTTACGCGTTTAAATTTTTTTCATGTGAATAGTTGACAAGCGAGCAGGCGGTTCACCTGATGTTAAGTGAATACCGACGCCCGTACACATCTACACCTGAGGGTTGCAAATGCGTTGACAACCATCTGAAAATTGGGATCTGGCTACCTCACTCGCCAGATGAAACGCGAAAGTATTTTTTTTTATTGAAAAGTTGCCAAACGAGCAGACGGTTCACCTGATCTTAAGAGAATACCGCCGCCCATGGATATCTGTTACACCCGAGGGTTTGCAGATGCGTTGACAACCTTTTTGGAAATTGTGCTCCGGCCACCTCACTCACCAGACGAAACGCGAAAGTATTATACTTCCACTTCGCGCCGGTTTTCTATGAGGTCGTGGTATTTACCTGGACGAGCCTGCCCATTCGTGCAACAGCCGAGGCTGCTGCGGCGCCCTACCACAGTTAGGTAACTTCGCCTTCGCATTTGTAATATTAGAATGGACTAGCGACCCGCTCCGCCATCGCACGGGTGCAACGTATTATACATATAAACCTTCCTCTTGAATCACTCTATCTAATAAAAAAACCGCATCAAGATCCATTGAGTAGCTTTAAACGTCTAAGCATACATAGGGACAGACAGCCAGCGGGATGACTTTGTTTTATACTATGTTGTGATGTAAAAGTCTTGATTTTTTTCTCACCACTTAAGAACCCACAGCAGAGGCTGTTAGGCAAGGGTTGTTTGAGAGGATTTGCTGCGGCATTCGCTGAAGCCGGCGCTGGGCTTAACCTAGTATCGCCTCACCACCAGGTGGACGGCAGCCCGTACGTCTGCCACGTGTGCGGCGATCAGTTCCACGTGTTCCGCACCCTCACCACGCATCTGAACGTGCACCGCGCCAACTGCATATGCGACGTGTGCGGCCGGCCGTTCCTCAACGGCAAGCGGCTGGCGGTGCACCGCCGCTCGCACCAGACGGGCAGCTACCCCTGCCCCGAGTGCGGCAAGGTCCTGCCCACGAAGACCTCCAGGTGGGGATGTCGGAAGTTGAAAAATATACTTTTTTTTCGAATACTTTATCAAACAACGTTCTCCAGTCCCAAACTTAGCAACGCTTGCACTATGGGCACTAGATAACTGGTGAAAATACATAAACATACTTTCTTTTCGTTAATAAATATAGAAGGGAAAAATGAAACACACCAAGTTCGTCACACAATATTTTTCTAATAGTGGGGATCGAACCCACGCCCTCTGACGCAGGTGGCAGGCGCACTACCCACTACGCCATTTGGGTCGTCTGTATAAAATATATCGATACTAGCTTTTCGCCCGCGGCTTCGCTCGCGTTGAAGCCCTTAAATAAATATCTTTCTTTAAAAAAATCCAATTAAAACATAGCCCATGTCCTTTCTCAGGCTCTAGACTATATGTGTACCAAATTTCATTTAAATCGGTCCAGTAGTTTAGGCGCGAAAGCGAGACAGACAGAGTTACTTTCGCATTTATAATACTAGTATGGATTGATGAAAATATAAATAACGACCTCGATATATCGAGATGGGTCCTTGAGTGGAGATCACGTGAGGGCAAGCGCAGCGCGAAGGCCCCCCACAACTCCCCACTAATCGTTGGATCCAGGCCGCTACTTACCGGTCAATGTGGAAGTCAGCGGGGGAGGCCTATGTTCAGAGGTATATGATGTTGACGATATCGATATGTTTTCTTTTTACGAGTTACATGTTCTTCTATTAGCTATATTTCGATTAAATCGAGGGCTAAAGAAACCATTTCATCTTACTACATAAGCTGTTTTTTTCCAATCAAGGTCTAGGTCAATACACCTAAAAGTTTAAATTACAACAATAAATTTGGTTATGATTAATAAATAATTAATGATTAACTTCGTTTTATAGATTTCTTGTGCACTAAAGTAATATGAATTTGGCAAAAAGTTTATAACCCGAAAATAAATAAACACAAATATAGAGGATAAATTTTTAAAATTGTGTTAAACATTTACATTCATTAAACACCAATATTTACGGAGTTACTTAATTTTTCGAAACAAATAATTTCAGAACACCCATACGTATACAACTGTAATGTGAGGTTCATTCGTGAAGGTCACAAAGCTTATGAATTAGTTGAATGAATTTAAAAGAGATAAAACATAATGTTAGAAGGAGAGACTTGTCACGCGACGTTGTAGAAACAAATCGACGCTTGAAAGCCTATCCTTACTAAGCGACAAAAATCCGTAAAATGAGAAATATATACCATTCGAATCGCCAGAATTTTTCGCGTCGTTTGATCCGAGTCTCATGGTTCTACGACGAGTTTTTTTTGTCGCTTAGATATTGAGAGATTTCGGTCAAAATCTACATAATGTGCTTACTAAACGACAAAAAAATATTGATTTTAAGAATATGCAGCACATCGACATTTTGAAAATTAGGAATATGAACTTAGTCGGTTTCTTATATATTGACTTTTTCATTTATTTGTATTTACGTATTTTTACTTGTTATGAAATTTCCCTTTGAAACTACTTAGTAGATCTTACCTACAAAAAGCAATTGTAATTCATGTGGTTACGTATTTTACCTTGTTATTATATTTTGTGAAAGTGTCTTTTTGTATAAGTTAACCTGAAATAAAGCGGAAGAAAATTAGAGCTTAGATATTTTTAGTTGATAACGGTTAATGTTAATGATGTCGGTTATATAGTTCTACTTGATTTTCTAAATGACTATGCATGGCGAGTAGATACATTTACCCGTACGCAAATTTTATTTTCCTGTCGCTAAGGAACTGCGTAAGTTTCAAAAACTTTGTATAGATATACACGATACGTGAAGTGACACGCATATACGGGTTCTCAACCAGGCGCCTGCAGTCGCTTAGGTAGGACGTATTTAACATTTTGGCGCAAATTCAATGAAGACATGGTAATCGATCAAATTATGCAAAACTCTCTCAAAACAGATAGTCACGTTAACTGCTGAACCAGCCATATTTATCACTTACCTCATATCACGATCTACCGTCTACATCTGCAGGACTAAGTAGAGAATCAATCATATCAAATCTAATCTAGCATTTTGAACGTTTTCTGGAATTTTGTTGTAGTAACGTAGGTATACATTGTCCCATAAAACATTTACTTATTTTACGCAGTCTACTTGTGGGTAGGATCAATTTATTTTTGTTCCTAGTATTATATCATGAACATTATTATGTATTGAAAATTTATCCTTATTTTTATGGACATACAAACATTTTCAAAAATGTATTGAGAAGCAACAGTCAATCTATTCTATTTCTATTATCTTAATCTATTTAAACAAGTTTCTTAATGATTCTTTGGGGCCCAGATTGTAAACTGCACGAATAGCTCTCTTTTGTAAGATGAAGATTGTATTACTGTCGGCCGCGTTACCCCAAAGCAGAATGCCATAAGACATGATACTGTGGAAATAACTAAAATATACCAAGCGAGCCGTATGTACATCAGTTAACTGTCTTATTTTTCTGACCGCGAAAGCTGCTGAGCTAAGTCTATTAATATGGGGGCCCCATTGCAGTTTGGCATCAATAGTTATGTCAAGGAATACAGTTGAGTCAATAGGGTCCAACGCTTCCCCATATAAAAGAACATCAGTTTTTACATGTTGAACATTGGAAGTTGTAAATTTAATACATTTAGTTTTTTTATTATTCAACAGTAAATTGTTAGCACTAAACCAATGTACTACAGTGGATAGAGTATTGTTTACATCGTCATAACTTAAAGAACGTCGTTTTACTTTAAAAATTAAAGAGGTATCGTCAGCAAACAATACTATCTCATGATTATTATTAACTAGGTAAGGTAGATCATTTATGTAAATGAGGAAGAGAAAAGGCCCAAGAATAGATCCCTGTGGGACCCCCATATTTACCAGGGCCCCAGGAGATCTCTTGCCATTCACGTCAACTCTCTGAATTCGATGGCTCAAGTACGATTTCAGAAGATTGAGTGTGGCATCTCTTATACCATAGTGGCGTAGTTTCCTGACCAAGGTCTGATGCTGTACACAATCGAAAGCTTTGGTTAAGTCACAGAATATACCTAAGGCATCCTGCGACTATTCCCAGGCTTCAAAAATATTCATAACAAGCTGAACACCCGCATCCGTTGTTGAGTGACCCCTAGTAAACCCATATTGCTTTTTATGTGATAAATTATGAGAGCTAAAATGCTGTAAAATTTGATTAAACATGATTTTTTCAAAAACTTTACTAAGAGTTGGCAGTACAGGGATAGGTCTAAAATTATTGGGGTCGGAAGTACTACCAGATTTAAGCACCGGAATGATTTTACACAAAAATCATTAAATAATGGTTAAGTAAATTTACTTGATTTATTAATTTAAACTCTGATTATTTTAGATCAATTTTTCTGTATCAAAATTTTAAACTAAGTAAATTTACCTATTTTTACATGTTACAGCATATGCTACAGTGATGACTTATATAATTTTACCTCTTTATGAAATCAGGTAAATTTTATCTACCCGACACAAACTGGTGTTTATAAAAGTGTGAGCTGTCTTATTGTGACAATTTCAATAGCCACAAAAAAAATAATTCTACCAGTGTTATCATCATTTAAATCGAACAATAAGTTGAATTTTTATGATTTTTTTAATTTATATTTGAACTTTAAATCACTCTCCTGTAAAATTTGCTAAGTGTCGCTTAGTTAGGGTTGCCTTTCAAGCGTCGAAATGAAAAAGTCACTGAATGTACGAATCAGTCAGTTGTACAGGATGTTACAAATTTAGTTTCTTTTTAATTAGTTTGAAAATATTTGTTTTAATATGGATTTTTCTAACTTTGTAAATTTTTTATGATTATTGGCAATTAGCGTCAGAGGTGTGAATTTAGGGTCGCGGTTGTAATACCATGCATATCGAAATTCATTAGCATGGACACGTGCGCGGACCCACCCACAATGGAGGGCCGAAACCCGTGGCTTCTGGCTAGTCCACCGGTTCGGCGTCAGATGAAGCTTTAATAGTCCCGGGACTGGAAGCAAAGACATCAGTTAATACAAGATACCCATTCGACGGCCCCACCACCAGGTCGAACCACGTGGAGAGCGCCCATTCGAAACGCGCGCTCCGCTGCCACGTGTGCGGCGAGCCGATGAGGCACTACAACGCGCGCATCAAGCACATGTCCGAGGCTCACCAGATCACGCACGTGTTCCGCTGCACTGTATGCGGCCGGGAGTATAACGTGAGGCACTACCTGGCCACGCACATGCGGCAGGCGCACGGCGCCAAGGACAAGAAGTGCGAGCTCTGCGGCGCCGCCTTCGTAACCGGCCATGGGCTGAAGAAGCACATGAGGAGGCACACCGGCGACAGGCCGTTCCAGTGCCCCGTCTGCAGGAAGGCGTACGCGAGGGGCAGCACCCTGAAGGAGCACATGAGGGCGCACCACGCAGAGCGTCCCGCACGATCCTAGAGAAATGAACCGGTCAAGCGCGAGCCGCACTCGCGCACGAAGTGTGCCGCACGGATATCTATGAAAATTGCCAAAAAAAAATTGTCTGTTGTATGGGAGCGAACATTTGAGTATTTTTTTTATTCTGTTTTTTTTTTTTTTAAATTTAGAAATGGCCAGCACTTGACTGCCATCCCACTTGATGGTAAGTGGCGATGCAGCCTTTGATGGTAAGCGCGCTAGCTCAGTAAAAACCTATTCACTCTTGCCTTGAAGACGCCTACGTTGTAATCGGACGGAAAAACGGACGCCGGCAGGTTGTTCCATTCCTTAGCTGTACGGATGATAAATGACGAAGCAAATCCCTTTGTTCTTGTCCTGGGAACGTCGACAGCATGAGGGTGGAGCCTCGCCGAACGCCTAGTTGTCCGATGATGGAGAGGGGCAGGAGGAATCAAATCATGCAATTCCAACGCACACTCTCCAAAATGCGTCCTGTAGAAGACCGAGAGGCTGGCTACTCTGCGCCTGTGCTCAAGGCTAGTAAGGTTGGTTTTAACCAAATTACGGTCAGCAATAAGCCTTTCCGCACGTCTCATTGAGTCCTTTTAGTATTTGTTGTTATGGCAGTAGTAGAAATACATAATGTGTTAAAATTTTAGCTTTCTAACTATCGCGGTTCATGAGATACAGCCTGGTGGCAGATGGACAGACAGAGAGATTGCGGAGTCTTAGTAATAGCATCCCGTTTTACCCTTTGGGTACGGAACTCTAAAAAAAAGCTTGCAGACAGTGGCAGATTTACAATTTGGCTGTTCAATTTTTCCGTCTGCACTAACCTCTGAAATTCGGTAGTGTTATACCTTGTTAATTTTTTTAATGCACTTTTTTATCACGCTGGCACGGACTATACAAAAACCCTCTTGCATTTGCCTTGAAACATGAATTAAATTAATCTATGACGAGATTTCTGTAGTAATTTTAGGGTTAGGCGAGTGGTCAACAATATATATGCCACATTACATTTAATCGAAAAAAAAAACCATGTTACTTTATTTAGTTATGCACACTATAATAAAATGCTTGGCACTGCTGAAAATGTAATAAATGACGTAGATGGATTTTATTTTACGCTCACAATTTCACATTTACAACACCAGAGGAGATACTGGGCCCCAGTTATACTGGATAACTGGGCCCCAATTAACTCACTCAGCAGACGAAACGCGAAACTATAACACTTCCACATCACGCCGGTCTTTTGGTACCCCCCGGACGAGCCTGCCCATTCGTGCAACAGTCGCGGCTGCTGCATGGTCCTACTAGTGAATGCCAAGATTTTCGCTCCTTGAGGTCATCGACCGCTTTGCTTAGTTTGTAAAGCGTCTGGGCGCGTTACCCAACAGACAAGGTTCGAATTCGAAAGTTTTGTTCGTTTATCTACAGAAAATCACATTTTAAATTTCATCAAGTGCATAGACTAGCACGGAGAATTAGACATAGTCATAAAGTTTATTGTTTTTAACTATAAAATGTTTGATAAATAAACTATTCAATTATTATTTGGCCTTTTTTTTTCTTTTTTTAGAATTTTTTTGTAATAACTGTTCTCTAGTTTCACTGTGACTGTAGTAAACTAGTTGTTTCATGTGAGCCCAGTAAAAGTCCAGCGTAGCCATATGTGGACTGATAATTGCAGCGGGGAATAAAATTAAATAGAGCCAAGACTATACTAAAAAGAACAAGCAGTGTTACTTGCAACATACATACCGTATTGAGGAATATGGTGGACATTTTGAATGTAAAGAGAATGGAGAGAGACACTTTGGAGAATTTGAAGAACAAATCATGAAATCGAATAATTGCGATCAAAAGGAAAGAAAGTTTTATTTTAAATATTATTAGATTTCACATATTTTTAACTAGTTTTTATATTATTTGCTTAAACCATCCACCCTCCTCTATTTTATTTTATTAGTTTAATTGTCTAGAACTTCCAGTTTTTTTAAATATCTAAACGCTATTCCCAATCGAATGATACCTCATTAATACTTTCCGGACTGTTAAAAAAAATATAATTAAATATAAAATATAGAAACATTACTGAACTACGTAATAATTAAAAAAAATTGTTTCACAACCATCGATAGTTTGTCTATCGATAGTTGATATCGAAAACTATTCAGGATATCGATTGTACTGCCGATAGCATCGTCTAAGTCAATACTGTCGATACTATCGACAGCTGGTTACAATCTAATAGGTTGGGGAAAAAGTTTCTTCGCATTTTATATGAAAATTCAAAACATTTTAAAATAAACTATTTACATTTAACTAAAGTATGTAGGTGCCATTTTGTTCGATAACTTTCTGCCATCTTGAGGTAGGGACGTCATCCCATTGCTAAAGAAATTCTGGGGCTTCTGATCAAAAAACGGCGACCAGTCGTTTTGGCAGTCCCCTCGTGATGTTAACCTGACACTGACTAAAGAATTCTGAAGAGACCGAAACAAGTGGAAATCTAAAGGTCAGGATTATACGGCGGATGTATTAACACCTTCCAGCCAAACTCTCTTAATTTTTGCTGAGTAGCTAAAGATGTGTGAGGTCTAGCGTTATCATGATGATAAACCACACCCCTTCTATTGATTAATTTTGGCCGCTTTCTGTTAACTTCTTGCTTTAATTTCATCAGTTGTTCACAGTAGAGTTCAGAATCGATGGTCCTGCCTGGCGATAACAGCTCATAATGATTAATGCCCTTCCACCTTCCAATCCCACCATACACACAGCATTACCTTGTAGCGAGATAACCCGGGTTTCGCCAGAGTCTTGTGATCCACTTTACATCACCAGTTATCAGGTTTTTCAAAACTGGTTCGGTTTCATTACGCCGTAATAAAGAATCACAAATGAGTACGCGGTTCATTAAGTGTCACGGTTTGTGGTCAATTCTCAGTTCTTTAGCTACATCGTAACTACCGATGTGCCGATCTCGCTCCACTTTTTCAAAAATGGCATCTATTTTATCCCTAACAGGGCGCCCAGAGCGAGGTGCATCTTTGACATCAAAATTTCCGGATTGAAAACGCTTAAACCAAATTTGTGCTACTCTCACAGACACTACACTATGCCTATGAATATCACAATTTTTTTTCGCGGCTTGCGTTGCATTTTTACCTTTTTGGTAGTAAAATTTCAAAATGTATCGAATTTCTTCATTAGAATCACTCATCTTAAAGTATGAAAAACAAATGAAAATCACACATTTTCCAAATTTGAATTTAGAATAATCTTTTTGAAAATTTAAACTTTTTAATAATACAGACAGACCGATACAAATGGTATAGCCAAAGCGATTATATTATAAGTTCATACATACCATTTGCGAAAAGACTTTTTCCCCAACCTAATATAATATTGATAAGAGCAATACTATCGATACTTTCGATAATAATGCATTCGATAATATCGATAGTATTGCAAAAACCATTAGTCTCCCAAAAGCTCGATACTGTCGATAGTACAAACCTGTCGATAGTATCGATAGGTTTTGTCGAAAACTACTGGAAATTGCAATATTATCGATACTATCGCAAAAATCAAAATCAAAAAGATATTTATTCAAATGGACGCTTGCGCGCTCTTATGAATGGTCAAATTTAACATCAAACATTGTGTATATAGGTTCGTAAGGTACCACCGGTTCGAAAAGCAGTATCTGTTGAGAAGACACCGGCAAGAAAATCAACAGTAGCTCTTTTTCAAAAATATCAGGGTACAATATAATATACAGGTATAATAGTCTTATTCTAGCCTATGTGAGTATCAACAGTATTAACTCCACACATTGGCGTCGTCGAGATATTCCGAAATGGTTATACCATTAATGCTTTAATCGTTAGTGGATTTTTAATTTTACACTTAAATTGGTCAAGCGGCAGACTTAATATAGACTGTGGGATTTTATTATACATGCGCACACTTTGCCCCATGAACGACCTATTTACTTTTTGTAGATGAAACAATGGTGTAGTAAGTTTGTTCTTATTTCTAGTGTTTATTTTATGTCTGTCACTATTCTTTAGGTAATAATTAAAGTTATGACGTATATACAAAATATTACAATAAATTTATTGAGAAGCAACAATGGGTATATTAACCTCTTTGAAAAGATATCTGAGTGAATTCCGGGCTCCGATATTGTACATTGCTCGGACAGCTTTTTTAAAGAATAAATATAGAATTTAAATCTGATGCACTACCCCTCAACAAAATACCGTACGACAAGATGCTGTGAAAATAACTATAGTAAACAAGTCTGGCAGTGTTGATATCTATTAGCTGCCTAACCCTTCTAATCACAAAAACGGCGGAGCTCAGCTTATTCACAAGAGATGATATATGGGGACTCCACTGGAGCTTTGAATCTACTGAATTCTTGAATGCTTTGAATTCCCAGAAATACAGCAATAATAATATTGCACTTCGAGAGCTATCTATACTATCGGTAATATCGGCACGTGATAATGCTATCGATACTATTGCTTATTATTATGGCAAGTAAAAAAAAAATTATCGATATTTATCGTATCGACATTTTTAAAAACTCGATAAATATCGACTGAAAAATATCGATAAATCGATAATCGATAATATTTTTTAAGGTTTTTAATTTATTATTTATATTTCCAAACCATTGCAAATTCGTGAAAAACCAATAATCATCTGATATGGACATTGGGAGCATTCTCTGTTTCATGTGCTCCCCTGTCAAACGTCTGGGTACTGTCTGATTCACAGCCGAAGTAACTCTTTCTAAAGACACCGAAGAAGCCTGGCAAATTGATACTTAAGGGCATCTTTTGAATTTCACTTCTTTTTAAGGTGGTTTTTTTGTGAATTTTGTTCCTTTTTGTTTATTTTTTAACTTCAGGATCATATACGTCTCAAACTGATGTTTTAATAGTATTATCAGGCCATGTAATCTTTACTAAAAAAAAGTATTATCGTGCACGCATCTAGTAACACTAAAACACCAAACCAGAGTTGCGTTAAAAATATATCGAAATTGACACGAATTCAATAGTCGAAAATTAATATCGAATAGCGATATATCGGGAATAAAAATATTGACGATATATACCGATATTTATTTGGAAAAATATATCGATATTTTTTGCCCATGCCTAGTATTGCTTTTACCTTAACTATCGATAGATAATAAACATTTTTATCATTCATGTTTTGAATTACGGTAAACATATTGGTCGTCTAAATAAATCATACGATATATATATTTTTTTAAATTTAAATTTCCTACAATTTTTGTTTAAACACTATAAGACCAACATTTTCGCTGCAACATTCACTGTGTTCTGTATTACTCCACTCACTACTTCTTCACTACATTATAGGCATGAGATATACCTGCAACATTCTATACCCGGCCTCAAAGGTACGGGTATCGCCGTATACCCGGTGCTAAAACCCAGTATCAAAATACCTATAGGTATTAGTTATGTTCAGGCCTCCTTTTGGAAACGCGGTCGAATCAAACGAATTGAACCTTTGGTTGGAATTGGAACATTTAAATGTTTTTTTTAGCAATCAGTTTTTTTAAATTGAGATTTAATCAGTCTAAAATAAGCTCCATCTTTACTAACGTAAAGAACCCTATTATCAAAAAAAAAGTAATTCAATTTTTTTATTAATTAATTTAATAATCAATTAATCAATTTAATTAATTAAATTATTTATTTAACTTATGGTCATAGAAACAAAGAATAAATTTATCTCAAGGAATTATTTGGTATAAAATGCCTAAATCATACGTTTCAATTCGGGCATGATCGGGAAGAGCCGCCGTAAGCGTTCGGGGAACTTCGTACCTATTCGGCCGGCGGGTTGTCGCGAGCGTATATACCGCCACCGTCGGACGAGGCGGCCATAGCCATACCTATCGGTGCGGGTATGGAACGGGCCTCTGCCGTACATACGTCATACCCAGTGTGCGGGCGGGTTGTCGCGAGCGTATATACCGCCACCGTCGGACGAGGCGGCCATACCTATCGGGTATGGAACGGGCCTCTGCCTTAGATACCCGGTGTGCGTACTGGTATGTTCATACTGGGTATTTATACCTGTTCCAGTATATACGCCTCATCCCTACTACATTATTCCATTCGTGTTGATGTAAGGCATAAATCTATGCCCTATATTATTTATAGTTTTTTAAATAATATTAAGTCATTAGAGGGTTAGTGACATAAACTTTAGGGACAATGTTTTCGACTTTTCGAGAGTTGGAAACACCGTTCAAGTGACATGTTATTGTTATTGTTAAGATTGTGTCATTTTTGTTACTGTCTGTTGTTTCTTTTCAAAACAATAATTTGGCTTGCTCATGGACTCTGATTGGTTTTGAAACGTTTTTTTCCGGCTTCCTAAATTCAATATTGTTTCCTTTACATGAACGTATTTGAATTCTTCTTTGGACAAAATGCCTAGGAAAAGTGATTTGAAATGTTATTTTGGGTGTATTATTGATGGTATGTTCTTTTTTACTCTTTTAAACTGGCAGTACAAAAACAAACTAAGTTTAAAAATTGTAAGTTTTCTAATAAAAACTGCGGAGATAGTGCTTACTTACTGTCATTTGAATAATTCTTCTAAATCTCTATGAAGTTAAACATTTTAAAGCTCTCTCATTTGTGTCATAAACATTCTTTTTGGTGTGGTAGGAAAGTTCTTCGTACATAGTTTATAATGTTCTTTCAGGTCCATTACATAGATTTCCTATTTGGACTTATCCTTATGAAGAAAAGTTTAATGCATGGAAAGCTGTCCTAAGTGTTAAGACTCAAGGAAATGAAAATAGATACATATATAATAATGTCCGATTCTGCTACAGACACTTTGAAAAATGTTTTCAATTACCTAGTAAGCTTCTAACCAGAAATGCTGTGCCTACGTTGTATTTAGGTAAGTAATAAAAAATTATGTCAAACAGGAATTGGTATGAATATTACATGAAACGAAGGTAAAATTTTAGCAGGCTACTTGTTTCTTTTGTTATTACACTTAATTCTTTTGTTTGCTATATTGAAGTAGTAGTCTGCCAAAATTTTACCTCTAGATCATATACAGGAGTATCTTCAAGGCTACAACATTCTAAAATTTAAACAACTCTCATTTGAATTCTATTCCGTTAACTGAAATGAGTTAAAATTCTTTAATGCAGACTGATGCACTTTGTTTATCTTAATATAATAAAATATATTTGTGCACACAAAACTCAAAGCTAGTCAATGGATTGAATTGAAATTTGATAACAACATAAATATTGTACATTAGAGCATTTTTATATACTTATTATTCTGTATGCCAAAAACGGATTTACATTATGTGTGTGTGTGTGTGTGTGTGTGTGTGTGTGTGTGTGTGTGTGTGTGTTTGTGTGTGTACCTAAAATTAAATAACATAGTAAGCGTGCGTGCGTGCGTGCGTGCGTGCGTGCGTGCGTGCGTGCGTGCGTGCGTGCGTGCGTGTGTGTGTGCGTGCGTGCGTGCGTGCGTGCGTGCGTGCGTGCGTGCGTGCGTGTGCGTGCGTGCGTGTGTGAGTTCGAGTTAGTTTACCTCACTACATCATGAGTTTCAAGACAGCCTTTATAAACTTATCCCTACTGAAATGGAAAATATCAACTGAGTGGAATCTTTTATTATAAACTTTTTGTAAACGATTCACCAGAGAGTGTTGTGCATACTTTGTTTTTGTATTAACAATCGCAAACAAAGGTGTATGTCTGGTTCTACGTTTCGGAGTACAAAAGCAGAGAACTCTATCAGCTAAAGTTACACAGTCAATACTTCCATTACATAAAACATGCAAAAATGCCATGTCCATTAGGGTGAGTCTATTCTCAAGGCTTATTAAATTGAAATATCTACAAGACTCTTCATAGTTATTAGTATAAATGAAATTTCTATAGTTTAAATGTCTCATGAATTTGTGCTGAATTTGTTCTAAGTTATTTATATGAACAGTGTAATGCGGGTTCCATACAGTACTACAATATTCAAGGACGCTTCAAAGTAAAGTAATTTAATACAGCTAATATCAGTAAAGGGTCTGCTTACGCGTAGGATGAAGCCAAGGCTTTTGTAGGCCGAGTGCGTAATTGTTTCAATATGTTCTGAGAAACTTAACTTGCAATCCAGTAATATCCCCAGGTCCCTCACTAATTCTTTCTTAGTTATATTAAGCTGGTTTATTTGGTAGTTGAAATTTGTAGGTTCTCTTTTCCTTGTGACAGAAACGTAAAGACACTTGCTGACATTAACTCCTATACGATTTACTACATAATAGTTACCAAGTCGCACAAGATCATCTTGAAGTTTAATGCAGTCTACATGATCAGTGATTTTTATATATATTTTAGTGTCATCTGCGTACATTAGAAACTTAGCATTATGAAAACACCTACCCACATCATATAGATAGCACACGTACAGTAGAGGATCCAAAATGGAACCTTGTGGAACTCCGGATGTTATTTCCACGAAGTCAGAACGGAACCCTCCTAAGACTACTGCCTGAGATCGTTTCCACAGATATGATTTCATCCACCTTAAGAGGTTACCTCGTATGCCCAGCTCATAAAGCTTACGTAGTAATATGATGTTGTAACGACCTATTAATAATAATAAATATTATTATTAATTAGTCATAATAAAGATCAATTAAGATGAAAGTAAAACGTTTAAGAACGTTTAGTCACAATAAAAGTTAATAATATATACTTAAATTTAAGAAATATAAGTGTTAGTATGAGAAAATGATATTACCAAAAATTGATAAAAAATAGTTAAAAAATCACTTAAAATACTCAAAAAAGGATATTTATTAAAAATATAGCAAGATACGATCACTATTATGTCAATTAAATACAATTCCATACTTAGTGATTTCTAAGGGAAGTATTATGTAGCGTGCGGGGACACATTTGTATGACCGCACATATGTAAGTACAGAGTAAGTACTATAGTCAAAGTACATTGTATGAACGTCCCATACCAATATCATATGGAAGTAAGGTCTAATGGATAAAAGTAATAATATGTGAAGGCTCAGAGAAAAAATAATGAATATATAAATATAATGAAGAGCAATGAATGACTTGGGACTTTATAAGACATATTACTATGGAGTTGCGTGGTACTTCTGTACGACGATATGGTCTATGGTAAACGTGGAACCATGAATGGATATGTCTTGAGTGGTATCATCGATAGCTGGTGGTAGTTGGCGTCTTAGTGTGTTGCACTATGATACGTCGACTGATCATCTGACTTTGGGGAGTCTGGTGTTGGCTTGCGTCTTAGTGTATTCCACAATGATACGTTGGCTATTACTTGACTGGGGTGGGGGTCCGTTGGTGGTTGGCGTCTTAGTGTTTACGCTATGATACGTCGACTATCATTCGGATCGTGAAAGAGTATGTTTGGACACTTCGTGTGTTCTGAGTATATTCTAAACTTTGGAGCCGAAGTTGATTGGAGTTGTATTGGTGTGGTATGAGGGTGTGCCACCTACGCGATAGTCACATTGATGCGTGCGGCTATATGCAGTAATGCGTCTTGTGGTAGTTGCGGGGTGATCTGCGCCCAATATCATTGCATCGTATGATTCTGGTTGACGGAGGTTCGAGGTGATGATGTCTGCTGTGTATGCGGATAGGCTGTATGTTGGCGTGTTGACCTGCGATAGTTGTATTGATGCATGTTGCATTTAGTGACATTGCGTCTTACGACATTTTCTTGGGAGACACGCTATTCATAATGGCCGAGTCTGCGTCTCGGTTTGATGCACATCTCAGTAGATTTGTCCAAGTCGGGTTCCTGATGACGGAACTGCAGACTGTCTGACCTCTTTATACGTTTTATCATTATTAACGAATCTCAGTAAAGTTCCCACCGTTCGAACGAATAATGGCAACTTGCTGGTGGGTGAGACAAACTTGATCGAAAATACATTATACTCAACGTCAGAGACACTGACAAATAAATATATGTTGCCAATTATAAACCCTTCTGATGGCTAAACATAAAAGTCACAACTATGGCTATATCTGACTATTTCAATGGTTGGTGGAGCATATGCGGTTACCTCATGTGGATGGTAGCTGGCGGGAGAAAACCTGTCAAGGCTGCGGCGATGCCGTGCAACGTTTTAACCATACCTTTGGGGTGAGCAGTGACTCATAACGCGCTCTGCGACGAAATGTCGTGCTAACCTTTTTAATGGTGGTGATGCCAAAACACTAACAATCACGTCTGCAGTCGCGGCGATCTGGCAAAAGTGGTGGCGCTTACGGAGGGCTTATTATATTTGTCGGGCCAGAGTGCCTGATTTTAACACATGCCCAAACCGTATTGACGTCAAATTTGTGCACGAAGACTGGATTTGTCGTCGGCTTGTATGACGTTACACGCATTGACAGCTTTGCAATGGACCCTTCGGGACTTCGGTCCTTTCCCCAACTTTTTGTCCCTCTTCTGGGGGGGGGGGGGGGCGCAATATATATGGTTGGCGCTCACCGCACACGGCGTTGGTGAGTGTTTTCATGGAGCCGTGTGCCTTCCCTACATTTTTTTCCCTGTTGACTTGTATCTGGTATGTGAAATTGATGTGAGCCCTTTTCAAGAGAGAAGGGATATTAGTTTAAAAATTATATTGTGAGCCCTTTACAAGCGAGAGAGGGAGTATACTATATATATACTCTGAGCCCGTCTCAAGCGAGTCGGGATTAGTTAATAAGAAAGCAATCTAGCATTATCTCTGGCTTATACCACAACTAGTGAATATTTATCTATCCAAGATCCACCTAAAAGAATCAAGTTACTAAATAAACACAACGTAAATGCGGTCCTACCGAACATGACGATCACAATAATATTTTATACGGCTAATTATTACCTTTAGAAAGATCATATAGAAAGATCAATAAATTATCCTGGTCACGTAATGATGTTATATGATTTATTCATATAACGGGGCAGAAAAATATATAATTTTATATAATTATATATGCATAAAGGGGGGTTCAGTTACAATGTGATCTACGCGATCAAATGCTTTCTCAAAGTCAGTGTAAATGACATCTACTTGCGACCCTCCATCCATATTTGTGGTAGTATAATCAATAATAAATGTGCCCAAGTTAGTTGCTGTAGAGCGCCCTTTCACAAAGCCATGTTGTTCTGGGGGTATTGAAGGTAATATGATGGGGTATATGTGAATATGAACGATTCTTTCTAGCCATTTACTTAACACATTGAGTATTGATATTGGCCGGTAATTCTCAATTATTGTCTTCAGCCCTTTCTTGTGTATAGGTACAACATGAGCTTCCTTCCAAATATTTGGAAAGTAGCCATCGCGAAGACACCTATTGAATAATAGTGCTATAGGAACAGATAAAGATTTTGCACATTTTACTAATAATATAGGAGGCAGTTTATCGCTACCGGCACCTTTCGTAATATCAAGCTTACAAATTAAATTCTTAACTTTCTCTGAATCTATTTCAATATCTTGGATTACATTTAAATTTAAATTTAAATTATCGGATCGTGTAGTCAAATTACTCTCAATAGATTTAGTAAAATTACTTTTTAAAAAATCGTTAAATGACGAGCAGATGGCTATTGGGTTATTCAATTTAGTGTCTCCGTATGTCATTTCTTGAGGATAATCAGAATGGTTTTTACGCTTAGACTTTACATAACTCCAGAAAGCTTTGGGGTTATGTTTAATATTCTCTTGAGTGCGCGCTAGGTACAGTTTATAACATTGTTGCTGTAGTATCTTTTGTCGTTTTCTCAGCTCCGAAAAGTCTGCGTAATCAATCGGATTTTTATGCTTCTTCCAACTAGAGTGCAATTTACTCTTTTCTTTTATAAGGTTAATTAGTGCTCTGCTGTACCACATTGGATAAGAATAATTACCACTACATCGGATTTTAGGAACAAATTTTTCAATCAATTCATTTATTATACTGTAAAATTTATCGGTAACACGATCTAAACTTGTTTCCCTTGTGATAAAAGCCCAGTCTTGCTTCAAAAGTAAATCATTCATACTACGATAGTCTGCTCGCTTAAATTGATATTTAGTCCTAAAAGAGGGCCTACGTGAAGGTACTAAGATTGCCGTCGCAGATATGTATAGAGCTGGATGATATACATCTTCCATGACAAGCACAAATTCAGATTTTTGAACTTTTATCGGGAAAGATGAAAAGATTAAGTCTAGAGTGTTCTTGCTACTGTTTTAGAGTGTAATGTATTGAGAAAGGTCTATGAAAGAACAACAAGATATAAGATCAGATCAGAAGACTGATCCTTTCCTACGTACAACTGGGTCTCCAGAAGTCCAGTCAATACATGGTAAATTAAAATCTCCTGAAACAATTATATAGTCGTTTGGGTATTTATCACGAACAGCTAACAGTGTGTTAATGAGATCCTTTGTGCGCGAAGATATTTGATGATTAGGTGGTATATAAACTACTGAAATGTGTATGTCATATGAAGAGCCTATGTTACTTCCTGGTATACTAACCCAAATGCATTCCAGATCGGTATTATTCCATTCTGGTCTCATGCGCGCGTGTAGCTTTGATTTACAAAGTAACATTACACCACCTCCTAATGATCCTCGATCTCTGCGAAAAATTTTATAATCATCGTCACTTAGTTCTGCGTCCAAAATACCATCACATAACTATGTTTCAGAAATCATAACTACATCGATCTCAGACAGTAACAGATTATTATAAAACGTATTAGTCTTTGTTCGTAGCCCTCTAACGTTTTGATAAAGCAATGTAAGGTTCTTACTATTTTTACTATTTTCATCCATTTCTGACACGGTAGTAGCGGTGAAATCGATAAACGTACATTCTATAAAATGTTAAATATTTAAAGGTAAAATAAACTATTATTATTAAGCCAAAGTTATTAATTAATATATATAAATATTCGCAAACCTTAACGATCAATGGATAACTATAAGTTAAGCCGTAGTTTTTAATAGCATTTAAATGTGGCACTACGAAAATTTGCTTCGGTTCAAAATAGGAGTGTACACAAAATAGAGATCACATGGAAAGGATATACTTGTGAGGTACTCTTTTACTACATAATCAATAAGTATGTAAATTGAGTTGAGTGTAGAGAAGTGTAAAAATATTTTATGTAAGTGTAAGGGAGGATTATTGCATACATTGAAAGGGGAGTAATTATTACATATCATACAGTGTTTTAGATTATTTTGGATATATCGGTTGATGAGGATATTGGAATAGGGGGTGAGGCCTCGTCCTTTCGCACGAAGATACGGCAGTTTTTTGTCCAAACAAATTTATAATTTATCTCCTTGGCTTTTTGTTTGCATGTATTTAAAAGAATTTTATTTTCTTTTGTAAGGTGCTCATTGATATAAACTCTGTTAGTCTCATCACCCATTCCCAAATCCTTAGCATTCAGAGTACGATACTTGCGACCCGCTGCTATAAGTTTGTCTTTGGCGGCACGTTGTCTTAGATGCACAACAATGGGGCGTGCGCGGGCAGCACTCACGGCGCGCCGAGGTTGGACCCGGTGTGCGAAATCGATATCAGTCTGCTGAATAGGAGCCCCAATATGTTGCGAGAGTTTCAATACTATTTGTTTAGTATCTTCGGCCTTATTCTCAGGAATCCCTGTTATCTCTATATTCTGCATTCGTGTCCACTGTTGTTGTCTCAAGTTTTCGTCTTCCAATGCTTTAATCCTTGCAGCTTGTGCAGTAACACTATTTTTAGACTTTTATTTTCTTCTCTTATACATTTCAATTCAGAAGTGGTCGTTGCAAGCAGCTTTTTTAGTTCTACGAGTTCTTTGCGAAAATCCTCATATTGCCCACTAATAAAAATTGAAGACTCCTGATATCCGGAACACTGGTTTTTTATTGTGGTTAACTGATCTGATAATTCATTCAGGCTCGATTGAATAACAATTCTTAATTCATGTCTTTCAGCCTCCAAGACATCCTTCAACTTTTTTTCCGTTATGTAGTCAAATGTTAAATCAGATTTTTTACGCAACGTTACATTCAAGTTCTCTGCGTTATCGAGAACTGCCGACTCTGTCTGGTGCGATAGGCGTATATTTTTATTTTTTATTTATTTATTTTTTATTTTATGCGAAAAGTTGTCAAACGAGCACACGGTTCACCTGATGTTAAGTGAATACCGCCGCCCATGGACATCTGCTACACCCGCGGGTTACAGATGCGTTGACAACCTGTTGAAAATTGTTTGTGTTATCCTTCTTAGGTATTTTACTTTTACATTCCAGGCATCTCCAATTACGCTTATTCTCATCATTTAACACTATACCGCTGTGGTGAGATATTAGTGCATTGAAGGTCATACTTCTGTTTACAACCAAGACAGGTCATGTATCTTTTATCAGATATTAATGCTCTGCAAGCTCCACAGAATTGTTTATCCATTTTAGGCGCAATAGAATACTCTAAAAAACAACTTTTAAAATTTTCTAGAAAAAGTTTGTTAACTACTATGTGCTAATTATTTTATCCAGGCGCTAAAAGATTAGCAAGTAAATATTGCCGTACTACGTCACAGCGAGCGAATTGCGAGTTGGGGTAGGTCCGGGAGATTGAACACGTAAGATTTTATAAATATCAAAATGCTTCTTACTCCACAATTTCTTGATGTTTTATTGTAGTAATTACACAGGCACAATCACCGTCATATAAGGTTCACACACGTATGTACTAGTCGCAATGTTTCGCACTATAAACAGATATTTTGAATTATAAATAGCCACAAAACTCAAACGATGTTTTATCTTCAACTGCCCTCGATAATCGTGAATAATTATTTAGTTGTTCATTTGTAATGGATACACTGAAACTAAATAATATTGATGATATTAATTTAATTAGTAGTATGTATTAAGTTAAGTGTTATTTGATTCAGTTATTTTATTATTTTTTCGTAATTTGCAAAAAAAAATCGATACACCCATGCGTCCATAGGCTCGTTTGATCGCGGACTGAGATACCGAGCTAAATACAAAAATGTTTGAAGAAATTTTAATATGCATTATAATTGAAAACCTAGTTTATTTAAGTACAGAGAAAATAGCTTATCATGTAGGGGACTATATAAGATAAGCTTTAATTCATTATTATTTTGTAGTAAAAGTATGTAATAATTTAACTAATACTGGTGCCTGATTAGACGAGATTATAGTATTATTTATCTTTCCATAGTTGTGGCATTTTATTGAAGTATTTAACACCTGAAATTTCTCTACCATCATCCCGAACACACATTCTACGGCCTTCCTTCCCCTACGCAATCTATAGTCATATATTTTTTTCTTATTATCAAGAAGACTTTGTGGACGGGGTCTTAACAAATAATTCAAGAGTGGAAATGCTTCATCTCCCAAAAAGTAAATTGGGACCTCATAGTTTATTTTCATTCTATGGAAAACCAGCAGCTTGAAAGAACACAAGATAATAACAGGACAGCCAATTACAGGTTTACACTGATAGAAGCTAAATACATTGATTTTTCAATTGTCATTCAAGACTTTTAGCACCATGATTTCGAGCATCTATCAAATTTTGAGTACTTACAATGAGATGAAACAGAAATGTTTATAAAAAGTATAACAAAAAAAATTGGTAATCGTAAAGAAGTAGAAATGTTGCCCCGTCCAATGAAATGTCTGAGTGATTAAGCGCGGAATATACTGCCCTCACTGTTTCTGCCAGTAGATCCTGTTTCAATGTATGTAAATAGACTATCATCGAGACTGCATGCCATGAGAATACTTGAATGATACGATTTGTAGTTACAGTTAAGCTTTTCTATTCTTATGTGCTTTCCGTCTAGGGCACCCAAACAATATAGGCAATCGAAACGGCATGCATTTTACATTATTTACTGTTACACTATTTACATTTAAGGCATCCCATATAACGGCTATTGTTTCTGCAATTAGTATTAATTGTGCACTCTCTCCCCGAGCGAAATATAAAGGTATCGATGTGAATGTTACCTCAGTTTCTAGATACCTAAAAAAATTACTACACTTTTATTACTTTCAGAAAACCAAGCGAAAGAAAAAAGAAAAAGTCTCCGTACTGTTTGCGTGCGAAACTCAAAACCTGCAACGCGTGAATCATCAAGGAAAAAGAACTACTTGTCAGATGCAGTGGAGGGTGCTATACCACACATAAAAACCGAAACTCCGTCTGCCAGTTCACCTAATCCAGAGGAACAAGACGGTGAAGACAATGAACCAAAAGACGCTGATCAGAACGCATCACCAGAGCCCCCGACATCATCACCACGTATACCACGCAGTTCAACTCCGCAATCGGACCCAAATCGTCGCATTTCATCCGTCTCCCCGAAGAAAAAATACAGGCGTGACAGTAATAAAGGGGCTGGTGAAATGTTCGGTGTATACACAAAATCTAAAATGAGGAAAAAGATCGACGACGAGGAGTCGACAAATATCAAAGCCAATAAGATGTTTCTGTTAAGTTTGCTGCCGGCCATGAATTGTATGACACCAACACAAATAAGATCATTCAAACGTGTAGTTATCGAATTGAAAGATAGATTGCTAAATTTACCCCCCGACCGGTGAACGCAAATGAAACATGGAAGCGTTACTCTCGCTCCAAAATGGCTAAACGAAAACTGTACCATGATGGGCGTGGCTTAATAAAGCGCTTTATCCAGCGTTAATAAAGCGTTCTGTGTTCAGCTACTTCAAGACACTGCGGATTGCACGAATTAATTGTTGATTATTTTTTAATAAACAGATTTTTATAATATAATTAGAATGCTTTCCTTTGCGCTCACACATTCTCATGTGTGTGTCTCTGTGATTTATGTGAGTAACAATTAAATTCACTAACTATGGACGTCCTGTACAAGGACAAGAATTTAGCATCTGTTTGTTGTAACTCCTTTCAAGCAAAAAACAGTCTGCACTTTATATTTTTTTCTATATTGTTATAATTATTGTACTTTCTAATTTATCAATAATTTATTAGTACAGTTTGTTGTGATTTATTTAAAATTTGTCGGTTTGACACCCATTGCGTCGTGATATTTCCGACACCATAGAGTGGTTGTGGTTGGTATCTGTTTTTGAGGAACATAAATTCAACTCTTACAACGTACACATACGGGGTTAGTTTTTGGGTTATTGGAAGTTAAGGCTGTTGCTCTGCTGGAAAAGCTAAATGTTATTGATAATTATTGAATTATTATCGAGTTATAGTTGAATGGATTGGCAAAAGAACTCATTTCTAACAATATATGGATGAACCCAGTATCTTTTGTTACGGCGACGATTTCGCTTTCGGAAAATAAAGTAGTAGCCAAAATAGTTTCGTCAGACATTTTGTAATTTTCCAAACATACATATTTGTTTTGTCTTTCATTAACAATTCAATGAAATTTATTCACCAAACTTCATATTTGTATCTTCGGTGATTGATACAATTTTAGCTTTACAGCTTCTTTTTAAACCTTTGCTATTAATAAACATAAGCCAATTATTTTAATTTTTGTTAGTTACTATTATCCTATGTTTAGGTAAGTAAAGACAAAATAAGGCGAAAAAAGTGTCAAATGCTATCTTTAAGTCCATTTCATTAAAAATGTTCATAACCATAAAGGCTCTGCAAACAACAACATAATTATAAAAGGGGCTCGGAGCGCACTAGACGGCCCCAGTCAGACTATAGCTAGCGATTTAGCCGAGGTCCTGCTCTCTCGGAGCCTAAAAGCTAAATGCACTTCATGGAGCGTCTCAGTCTGCCAAAACACCCTACAAGCTTGGTGTCCTCCCGAATCGGTGATGATAACAATAGCCTGACGGCCCGAGCCGAGGCCCCTCGGGAGCCCTCGAGCTTAGTCACCATAACGCGTAAACGAGGTTCAGGCTGGGCGCCCCGAGTCCGGTGGATCTGTAAAGGCCCCTAAGGCCAACAGTGGTCAATCCTGCCAAAAAAAAAGCTAGACGGCAGTTCAGTAGAGGAACTCGAAGAAGAAGGAACATGAAGAGGAAAGTGGAAAAGTGAAGTAAATAGTGAGTGAACAGTGGCGACACAATGTAATTTGATATATTAGTCGAATGCCCCAGGCGCCTTACATTGTGTTACCCATCTTAAAACTACGAATTATGTTTTTGTTAGAAATGATGCAGTACGAAAACCTTTTCAACCGACTTATAATAGTCCCTTCCGTGTAATAAATAGAGGGGAAAAAGTTTTCGTAATAACAACATTAACGATAAGCAGGTATGTCTTTCAATAGATCTCTTAAATCCGCGTACGTGCTGGCAGATGACGATAACGATTCGCAGACAGGCATTACATGCCCTGTACCACTGGATCAAGGTGCAGAGGATCGGTATGCATCCAATGATACCATACCGCAGAGAGTTTCAAAACATTGTACCGCCGGATACTCACACGGGTACAGAGGGTACAGGTACGGATGCACAAAGAACTACACGATGTGGACGTATTGTTAAAAAACCATCGAGATAGGTTCAATTTTTACATTATATACATACTTATACAATTGTTTTTACCTTTTTTATATGATGTTAAATTATATATTATAAATATACGACCAGTGTGTATACAGCATTAATACTTATTGTGTTTGTTCGAAAAAATGGTCTTAGACAAAAATAAGTATTAAATTATAACAATGTTTTGCTTTAACTTATTACCGTATTTGCGCAAGGCATACGGGTGTCGCCGTGTGGTGTCGGCGTAAGAATAAGCCACCCCATCTCATCCCGTGGGTGTCGTAAGAGGCGACTAAGGGATAAGCCACAAACATCCAGTGGCCTCCGATAGATGGCGGGATAACCATCTTAACTCTCCAGACCCAAATATCCAGGCCAATAATGGGCAGCAGCGTTGAAGGTGCGAGGTGTCTGGAAGAACTGCGGTTGCCAACCCGCTCGCAAAGCGTGGCAACTATGGCAAAAACCCCTCATGTATGGAAGTCCAAGGTGTACGGCCCCCAGTCCCCGGCGGCCCTGCTATTCCTGGCTACGGTAGCGGTCATGGTAACGGCAGGGCAGGGAGTGCTAAGAATCCCCGGCTAGGATTCGGCTACCAACAACGGCGACTGGACCTGGCAACATACAACGCAAGAACATTGAGGACTGACGAAAAGATTACAGAGCTGGAAGAAGAGGTGAACAGGCTGCGCTGGGATATAATAGGATTATCTGAAGTCCGAAGACAGGGGGAGGACACGATAATCCTCGAATCCGGCAACCTGTTTTACCACCGGGAGGGCGACCAACTGTCCCAAGGAGGTGTCGGATTTATCGTCCACAAGTCTCTCATTAACAACGTTGTTAAAATCGAGGGTGTGTCGTCGAGGGTTGCGTACCTTATACTCAGAATATCCAAACGGTATTCGCTGAAGGTCATACAGGTCTACGCACCAACGTCGACACATCCCGATGATGAGGTGGAGGCAATGTATGAGGATATATCACGAGCCATACATTCCTCCAAAACTCAATACATGGTGTTAATGGGAGACTTCAACGCAAAACTAGGCAAAAGGACGTCAAGACGATGAGCTGAGAGTAGGAAGTTTTGGTATAGGGCAACGGAACCCAAGGGGGCAGCAGCTGGCTGACTTTATGGAGAAGGAGGGACTCTTTATGATGAACTCTTTCTTCAAAAAGCAGCCCCACCGGAAGTGGACCTGGATTAGCCCCGATGGTTCTGTAAAAAACGAGATAGACTTCATTATGACGAACAAACGGCAAATATTCAATGATGTCTCTGTGATCACAAGGGTGAAGACCGGCAGTGATCACCGATTGGTGAGAGGCACATTGAATATTAATATCAGGCTGGAAAGATCTCGTCTAATGAAGTCCACACTCCGACCATCTCGTGCCCATATCCAGAACTCCGAAAGCTTTCGGCTCGAGCTACATAATCGCTTCCAATGCCTAGAAAATTGCAGCACTGTGGACGATATTAACGCTAAGCTCGTGGAAACTGTCCATGCCGTGGGCCTTAAATTTTATAAGGCCCGCCGCACAAATAGAACGCAAAAACTCTCCGATCACACTCTTAACCTCTTGGGAAAAAGACGTGAGATGCGACTGCAGTCTTTAGCTGACATGTCAGACTACAGGCGGCTTAATAGGCAGATCTCCAAATGCATGCGTCGAGACTTACGCATCTTCAATGCAGCTCGTATTGAGGGAGCTATAGAGCGGAACCTAGGCTCAAAAGTCTTCGCCAGAGATCTGTCTATCGGACAAAGCCAACTGACCAAGTTGAAGACTGACAGCGGGGCTGTCATCTCCAGTAGACCAGAGGTTTTGAGTGAGATTGAGAGGTTCTATGGACAGCTGTACACATCGTCGTTGGAGCCACACACATGTGTGAGTTACGACCCAAGAGCAAAGCTTATCCGACACTATTCCGAGAATATCCCGGACGTCAGTCTGAGCGAGATTAGAATGGCTCTCGACCATCTTAAGAATGGCAAAGCATCGGGAGAGGACGGAATTACAGCAGAGCTTCTGAAAGCGGGTGGAGAACCGGTACTTGTAGTCCTTCAGAGGCTCTTTAATTTCGTCCTTCAGGGTGGTGCTACACCAGAGGCGTGGAGCAGAAGTGTGGTGGTGCTGTTCTTCAAGAAAGGCGATAACGCTCTCTTGAAGAACTATAGACCGATATCCCTTCTGAGCCGCGTCTATGTGCTGTTCTCAAGAGTCATCTTGAATCGTCTCGCTTCCAGACTCGACGACTTCCAGCCTCCCGAACAAGCCGGATTCCGAAAAGGCTTCAGTACCATAGACCACATACACACCTTGCGGCAGGTTATACAGAAGACGGAGTATAATCTGCCTTTGTGCCTAGCGTATGTGGACTATGAGAAAGCCTTCGATTCTGTCGAAATTTGGGCGGTACTCCAGGCTCTTCAGCGGTGCCAAATTGACTATCGGTATATCGAAGTGCTGAAGTGTTTGTATAACAAGGCTACGATGTCCGTCCAAGTACAGTCCAGTAGTACAAAACCTATCCATCTGCAGAAGGGTGTAAGACAGGGTGATGCCATATCCCCGAAACTCTTCACCGCTGCGTTGGCAGATGTTTTCAAGCTTCTGTAGGTATTATCAATTTTTGGCCTAGCTAACAAATTTGACGTAGGTACCTTGTTATATAAGGTTTGCATATTTTTTTTAATATTTTACCGTTCGTTATACGTAACGAATTCTCTACAATGAGAAAGTCGTATAGTAAAGAAGAAATAGTCATCGCGCAGAATGGAAGTCAAGTCGAGTCCTACAATACCCAGCAGAGCATGTTGTTAGTGGCCATAGCAACATGTTTAGCCATGATTACCATATACGTGGTCTGGACGTCATGCCGTAATTACGAGAAGGACTGGCTACGAAAGCAGGTGCATGTCAACGCGGCTCCACCCGTCATTCATGTTCAGCAGCCAACGACTGTACCGCAGTCGGCAGCCGCCACAGTGTATTGAAATAACGAATAGCTGATTTAGAGTTGAGTGTGTGCAGTTGCGGTTCAATAATATTTTTTATATTTTGTTTCATGTTATGCCTTACATTGTGCAGCACAGCACAGTTCATCGCAAGTAGCTAGCGAACGCACACTTTCATGTGAATATCTTGTAGAGTTAATAATAAATAATATATATAATAGTAGCGTAGTATATACCTCATCTCCTCATTGAAAAGTTGCAAGGGGAGTTTTTAGGATGTACATTTTTTTTGGAATATTTTTAGGAATTTAATTTATCTTAAATATACACAGAACTAGTGTTAATTTTATTAGACTTATTTTGCAGTTAGAATATTTTGGTTTGAGTTTTGTTTATTTTAGTGTTTTTGAATAGCTTCAAAAGTATTTTTGGTTAATATGTGGCAGCACTGTTCGTAGACAATATATAAAAACCGTTTTGAAATATCGATATAAAATTCCACGTTACATTAGTTTCTGGTTTCCGTGCTGTAAAAAGTAAAGTTTTTTTTTTATGGGAAAAGGAGGCAAACGAGCATGCGGGTCACCTGATGAGTGATCACTGCCGTACATGGACGTTTCCAACATCGGTTGAGTCGCAATTGCGAAATAATTGCAATTAAAATTAATAATTTTATTGGTGACGGCACCGGGATTTGAACAGATCACTTCGAGTATAATGCATTAAAAATGAGTCGTGATAGCTCAGGGGCCGGGCGCTCATATATTAGACGAAACAAAGTGCGAACTGGTTCTGATTTGGCAATATATTTATTTCATGTTAATGTATCAATTTATATGATAGTATTTGTCCATGTGACCAAATTTCTCTAGTTTTATGGGATATAGTTCATGAATAATAAACAGTCTACATACAAATTATCTATACAGGTTGATTTTATAGACAACGGACATACTAACAGAGCATATACCAATCAAAAAATACACATATAACAATCATATAAAAACAAATATATAACAATCAACAATCACATATTCTGTATATATACAGAATTTGATTCTAAATTTGAATCTGGTATGTACTTATGGCCGCATTTTTTTTTTCAAAGATTATTTTTAATTTTTTTCAAATACTATACAGCGTGTCGTTACCACCGCGACAATAAATGAACACACATATAGAGGATAACTTTTTAAAATTGTATGAAACATTTTCCAAAACAAACAATTTTAGAACATCCTTACGTATAAAACTGTAACCTAAAGTTCATTTGTAAAGGTCACAACCCATTCATATGCTATGAATGGGTTGAATGAATTTAAGAGACAAAACATACCGTTAGAAGGAGAGGCTTGTAATGCGACGCTGTGGCGTGAGTTGTATAGGATGTTACAAATTTTGTTTCTTTTTTACTTAATTAGTTTGTTTGAAAAATATTTTTTTTAATTATGGATTTTGTTTAACGTTAATATTTTTTTATGATTATTGGCAAGTAGCGTTAGACGTGTGTTCATTTATTGTCGCGATGGTAAACACACGCTGTATACACCTGCCTTACCTTCTCAATACAATATCCTATTCACGAGCACTAAAACTGTTTGCTGAACGCATAATTACTAAACCGCTTATCAATAGGGTGACCACTCTTAAGGGGATAAACAAACAATGTTTGAATTGACATTTTTCTGGTTATTTCATGCCAAAATAAAATAATATTTTTTTTTAATTATGGAATGCTCAATTAACATTATGTCAAAGTATGTACTTTGTCTAAAAATTACCCTGTGTACAATATAACACAAAGAAAAGTCCACAATAAAATACTTCTTTACAAATACTATAAATATAATAGTTTTAATGTTTTTCACAAAACGTCTCTCGTTACTCACACGTCAATTACGTATAAATAAACTTAAACTTATGGCTTCATATACGTAAAATTTAAACTAAACAAAGCCAAACTGTCACTGTTGAAAAATTTAAAAGTAACAAAAGTTAAAATAAATCTCAAAAAATGTATCTTTGATACTCTGTTATTGTATACATAGTCAAGAATATATATATATATATATATATATACAGGGTGTTACAAAGGTGTTGTCACATTTTAAGGCGTGGGTATATATCAGACTTTGAATCAAATGGCATAATTTTAAAAACTGTACTGACCGCGCATCGGTGTTATCACTCCAAACTTACACACGCATACATCTGGTCGCCCCACTTATTCCCCTCTCCCTCCACTCCCAGTTACGTCATTACCCCAGATCGGTAACCTTGACCCAACCCGTCGCCAAACTACCACGACGACCGCATCGCGCTGCAGTTCGCGGCGATGCTTAATAATAAAATCTGATTGACTTTTCTTTTGATTCCTGAATAAGTATTCACTATCGGGAAATAAAAGAAAGACACTGTTTTTACTTCTTTTATTATTCTAAGTACACGTCCGCTTCGGACATAAAAACAATTTTTACATGGCATTATTAATAGTATCCTATAGTCGGTCAAACATGTCCACGATTTTAACAATTACTTACAACTAATTACTATTGAAATTTTGAAATAAACGTTAAAGGCTTTACAATGACATTTTGAAAGGTAACAAATCATACAACGCCGATGAGTTTATTCAACACGACATCTATGATACATAATCGGATAACAATAACAAGAATATTTTTTAATTAAGATCAGTGTAAGGTATAAAATGATGTTTATTAAATACCTAGACTTTCTAATGAGATCAGCGTTTACTGAGTCAACCGCACGCCCGTGCTTATCGGTTTCAGTTAGATAGCGGGCCACTATTATTTCACTGTAATAGCATGTCAGAACATAGACATTGTCACAACTTAAAACACACCGAAGTCCGAATAAAAATTACCATAAAACCGGAGCGCTTCTTCATTTGCAAAGAAACGACGCGTACACGGTCAGGCGCTTCGGGCAATCGCTCATTCCAGCTCCTTTTTTTTAACTCAATGATCATCAGATCTAAATTTATTTCAGCATTCTTGCTTGCTGTTCACTTGTTTCGGCTTGTGGCAAATGCTTGTGGTGCAGTTGGTGTGCCTCAAATAGTACGCGCATACGTCCGAAATCCAGAACATCTTTGCAGAAATAATTCGTAGGTAGAAGCGACAGTTGCGTCAAAAGTTGGTGTACTCGTAGTAAAGTTCAAAATAAATCGATGGTAGTTCTATCCGCAGCACTGAATAATATCATGTAGTAATTACTGAGCATATGACTATGTCTGTGACAACTTTTATCAATAATAAATGACGATATGTGGGTAGGTGTGAAACAAGTAGCAGCTGATTTTTAAGCTCTTTGTTTTATCCACTTTTAATTAATTTTGAAATCATTATTATATAATAAATATAATATACATAAGCAAATTTTAGCAAAAATTAAGTTATACATCAAAAATATATGTTCTAATAAAAGTGTTTAAATTTATTTGCATCTTCCTACAGTGTCATAAAGTGTATTTCATTTAAACTTTTGTGTACAAATTTAAATCATATGATGGCGAATTTATCTGATGTGGAGAGTATTCAGAAGAAGCTTGAAGGTTGCTGGACCCAGAAGATGGCTGACTTTGAAAAAAGATTAAAGGCAGCATCCACCCCATCGAATCCTACCCTGGTACAGCTTCAAGAGGACTTTAGTGCATTTAAGGAGCTGGTGGGGTCAATGCTCAACCTTCTACAACAACAAGTTAATGAGTGTTATAAGACTGTAGACACTCTTGATATGCAGCACCGACGGAAGGTTATCCTCTTTAATGGCATCTCGGAGGCTCCTGAAGTAAATGTGGTTGAAGAGATTTTGGGTATAATCCACAACAAGTTTGCCCTAACTCATGTAAGTGATGCTTCTTTTAAGCGCTGCCACAGGATTGGAGTTCAGCAAAGTGATAGAATAAGTCCAGTTCTTGTTCAATTTGTTGATCATACCTTAAAATCACAAATCTGGAACTCAAAAAGTAAGTTGAAAGGCTCTGTAGTATCCATGTCTGAATTTCTGACTAAAGCGAGGCAACTTATTCATAAGAGAGCCAGAAAACATTTTGGGTTTAGGAATGTTTGGACTCTGGATGGTGTGATAAACATTAAACTTCCATCTCAAGCCCGGGTGAAGATTACAACTGAAGAAGAGCTGGTATCGCTGATTGCCAAATTTCCCATGGACTCCCCGTCTTACTCCGGTGCACCTTCTGCTCATATTAAAGCTGCAAGTCATGGAGTCAAAACTATGCAAACACAGGAAACCTCCCCTAGTTTACAAAGCATGGTGGGCCGTCGTAAGCAAGTTGTTGTGGTGGCTGGTAGCGATGAGGCCAAGAAGACTCGTCGGTTTATAAATAAGAAATAGCCTAATACATATGATTTAGACCTAATCTGTTCTGTGCAACTAGAATAATATTATTCCTTGCAAACAACTATTTTAAAATCATTAATTTGGTGCTCAATATCCTTTTAAAATTTGTTCTTTTTTATTAGGCTTTGTTGAATTTTCCATTTAAACATGGTTATAGTATTCCTAAATTTATACATAACCTTTTATTTTATTTTTATTTTACATAAGTGGTTATTGTTGTGTATTAAGTTTTTCCATTATTTATTTCCTATTAGTTTCTGTTTTTGTGATTCTAATTTTAAACCATTAATAGCCTCCTAAGGTATTTTTATGTAAGGTCTCACTAAGTGCTTTTTGATATTTTTGTCAGTGTTTTTGTAATTATTATATATATATATATATATATATATATATATATATATATTTTCTAGTTTTCACCCTGAGATTCAATTGTCCTTTTGTACTATAGAAATAATTGTATAGTACCATTTTTTTTGTTTTTTAAATTGTTTTGGCCTTTTTCTCTTTAGTTTTTCCCAATTCGTATTCATATCTATGTTTTATCACATTGCCCATGATTGTAATTGTGCACCTTTGTATTTGAAACTAAATGTAATCCACGTTTTTGCCAGTGTCTTTCAGTTTTAGCAAAATTGTACTCTAATGTGCTGAAAAGTTAATATTACTTTTAATAACATGACATAACTTTCTATTTTCTATACGAATGTAAACAATAAATGCGAACGTCGCAAGTAAATATTACAACCTACTTAGCAATTGACAATGACATTGACATTTCGTATTCTGTCACTGGTTTCTTTCTGTGATGTCAATGGAATAATGACAATAGTTTGTGTATAGTCTTCAAGTTGTGGTCCTTTAATTTAAATATTTTTACTTGTTTTTTGTCTGTTATTTTAACATGATTGTAATATTCTGTTTTTTTCTTGTTATTTTATATTAGTCATTATTTGTCAACAGTCAACTGTAGGAATGGTGTATTCTGTAATTAATTCGAAAAACTTTATTATTATTATTACCAATTTTTTTTTAAATATTTTTTTTACATATTTACTTATTATTCTGTTCTTTTATATTTTTATATATAAATATATATAGCTAGATATTATTATTATTATGACCGATTCGGAATCATATTATTCGGCTTCTGATTCAGACCTGTCGTACAATTCATGTGATAGTCTTACAAATAATAGTCCATCGAATCTACATGAGCAACTCATTCAAGTTTTCTCTTCTAGGGATAAGTTTTTTAAATATATGTCATATCAATGCTCAAAGTGTTCCGAGCCATTTCTCTGAACTTCAAACATCGTTTACTCCTGACTGCATACACGCAGTTCTAGTGTCCGAAAGTTGGCTCAAGCCTTCCTTGCAATCAACATTCTATCCGTTATCTGGTTTCGTGCTTATACGCAACGATCGCACGGAGAAAGGAGGAGGAGGTGTAGCTATCTATTTGCATGCATCTATTACGTATAGAGTTGTGCTGACATCTCCATCACGTTATTCTGCCTCCGCAGAGTTCTCATTTGTCGAAATAGAACTAAAGGGGACAAGGATGATTCTCGGAGTTGTGTATTGTCCACCTGCTTCTGACTACTTCTCCTCTTTAGAAACGGCTCTCGAGAGTATCTGTTCCGAGTACTCTCACTGCATGATAATGGGTGATTTAAATACTGATCTTTTAAAAAAAGCTCCCCTCGTTCTCATAAACTTCACACAATCATTGAGTCAGTTAATCTTTCTATACTCCCTCTCAGGGCTACTCACCGTAACATTGGCACTGATGACTCCTTGATTGACCTTATTATAACTGCTTCTGATCATGTGGAGACATATGGTCAATTTTCTGCGTCAGAGTTCTCGCGTCATGACCTTATATTTTCTTCTTATAAGCTTAAACCTCCCAAATACAGCCCTCCTATCCTACATTTACGCAGTCTTTCCAGGATAAACTTTGAGGTATTCATGCGTGATGCTTCAAATTTTAATTTTACAGCACTGGTAGCAGCATCTACAGTTGATGAAAAAGTCTCTATTCTCAACAACATGGTTCTTAAACTGTATGATACTCATGCTCCAGCGCATAATGTTAGATTAAAACGCCCTCCCGCTCCTTGGATGACTGAAGAAGTAAGGATGGCAATGGCGAAACGGAATCGAGCCTTTTGTCGGTTCAAAAGGAACCGCACTGAGGATAATTGGTCTATATTTAAGATAGCTAGGAACAGGTGCAACCAAATGGTACGGACAGCTAAACGCCGATATTTTCATAATAATATTGTTAATTCATCATCTGCTAATGTTTGGAAATTCCTTAAATCTGTCGGTATTGGTAAACCAGCAATGTCGGAACGTGTCTTTTCTCTTTCTCTAGATGATATGAACCGACATTTTTCTTCTACGTCTGCCATGGACCCCGGAATCCGTTCTCAAGCTATTTCAAACATTGCGTCTTTACAAACCTATTTAATTCCCCAATTCAATTTCAGTCCTGTTGATCAAAACGACATTAAGAGTTTGCGTTAGCTATTAAGTCCAAGGCTATGGGCTGTGATGATATCAGCAGGTTTATGATAATCTCACTATTAGAGCATCTTCTTCCAGCAATCACCCATATTATTAACTATTCCCTTGATTCCGGTCAATATCCTACTTGCTGGAAGAAAGCCTATGTCCGACCTCTTCCTAAAGTTCCTAATCCTACGCAACCGAACCATTTCCGTCCAATATCAATTCTGCCCTTTCTGTCAAAAATTCTGGAAGCCTGTGTTCACAAGCAAATCTCCTTATTTTTAAATAAGCATAACCTACTGAGTATCTATCAGTCTGGTTTTCGTTCTGGCCACAGCACTACCACAGCCTTAATCAAAGTTACCGACGACATTAGACAAGGCATGGAAAATAAAAAGGTAACTGTGTTAGTGCTTGTGGACTTTTCAAACGCTTTTAACACAGTCGACCATGATATACTCCTTTCCATGCTCTCCCATATTAATTTTGCAGACTCTGTTGTAGAATGGTTTTCATCTTATCTTCGTGGGCGTCAGCAGTCAGTTACCTTGGGGCAAAAAAGCTCAGCTTGGGCTGATGTTGAATCTGGCGTGCCACAAGGCGGCATACTGTCTCCCATAATCTTCTCTATTTTTATTAACTTTCTTACTGCTTTTTTGAACTGTTCGTATCATTTGTATGCTGACGATCTTCAGCTTTATGTGCAAGCCGATATAGACGACCTTCATGTTGCGATAGTAAAATTAAACGAAAACCCAGACAAAGTTTGGAGTTGGTCAAGTTCTCATGGAGTTTCGGTCAATCCCTCGAAATGCCAAGCTATAGTTGTTGGTAGTTCAAGAATGCTGTCAAAAATTGATTACTCGTCTGTACCTCCTATAAAATACAATAATATAATAATTCCTTTTTCAAACGTGATAAAAATCTAGGTCTGCTTATTGACAATACTTTGAATTGGAGTGTATACGTTACTGAAATAAGCCGAAAAGTTACTGCCACCTTACGATCTCTCTATCGCTTAAAACATTTCCTCCCTTTCAAAACTAAACTTTTGCTTGTCCAAACGCTCATTTTACCCATTATCGATTATGCAGATGTGTGTTACCCGGACGTATCCCAACATCTACTAAACAAGTTGGATCGCCTCATTAATAACTGTATCAGGTTCATTTTCGGCTTACGCAAGTATGACCACATATCCTCCTATCGATCTCAACTTAATTGGCTTACTATTCGGCAAAGGCGGCAGTCCAGAATTTTGCTTGTGCTTTTCTCCATTTTAAATGATTGTTCCTCCCCTTCTTACCTCAAAAACAAATTCTTATATCTCTCCTCATCTCATGATAGGGTACTTCGGTCGTCTTACACGAATAAATTATGCATTCCAGCGCACTTTACCGGGTTCTCTGTCAACTCCTTTACTATCCAAGCTATACATCTTTGGAACTCCTTGCCCGATAACGTAAGAAACGCAAAAAGTAAGACATCTTTCAAAATATTGGTTCGTGAACACCTGTTAAAGACAAATTCGACCTAAGATATGGACTGTAGTTAAAAGTAGAAGCTAATTGTTATTTATTTATACAAGTATACATCTTTATATATATTTAAATATTTGAATATGTATATATATATATATATATATATATATATATATATATATATATATATATATATATATATATATATATTTTTTATACATATGCATGTATATAACTTAATATATGATTTGTATCCAATTACAATATTATTTTCATATATATTCTCTTTAATTAAAATTTTATTATTCTTGCATCTTTTGCTGCACCTACCATAAACTCTCACCACATCCTGGGTTGACTGGTAGAGAATGCCTTTGGGCATTAAGTCCGCCCTTTGTTACCTTGTTTTACTGAAGGTTGGCAATAAAGATTAAATAAATAAATAAATAAATAAATAATTAAAAAAATAAAACTCATTAAATAGACTTCATGCCTAAATGGCTGGAGAGTAACTGATTCGAAATTTAAATAACACATCGAAAGCGACTTATTTACCTACCAAAGCGGCTTATGTAGTTAAACACATAAGCAACGTTTGTGCAGGACTATTTTGCCGCTCCGACAATAAGGTTACCATGTCTACTGATTAAAATATTAGGACGGGGGTTTAATAGGCAATAAAGTAATAAACTTTTTTTTTCGGTTTCTTTTAATAGTATTTTACCATTGACTACTACAAGAACTAATCAAATAACACTAAGAAACTAATTGACCTTCTTTAAAATATCACAAAATTCAAACATAACCGTTGTGACTATTTAATCGCCTTACCTAATTTAGAAACTTTTGAACTCATTTGCAAGTATTTTATAAGTTATTTTTTATTTGTATTATTTTAACCATTCCATTTCACTACTTCAATCAAGGCGAGACACAACGCTGGAAAATAAAAAACCTTAATTTGATTATTTACAAATCCATGAGACAGTATAA